CTATAGGCATGCACCACCATGCCTGGCTAATTTTTAAATTTTTTGTAGAGTCTCAGTATGTTGTCCAGGCTAGTCTGGAACTCCTGGCCTCAAGTGATCTTCTGACCTTAGTCTCCCAAGTGCTGGGATTACAGGTGTGAGCCACTGCACCAGGCCTAGTTTCTTAAATTCTTAAGGAAAAAAAAAAAAAAACCAAACAACCAAACACTGAAGAACCAGTTTGACTTTGATGTGTGTGCTCTTTCCTGTTTTGTTAGTAAAGAATAATAGGCCAGGCACGGTGGCCAAATTTCTAATGCTACCACCCTAGTCCATGTCTTAATCATCTTCAACTTTGAAATTTACATCAACTCCTATTTATCCTTTACAAACCACACAACTCATGAATTTCCCAAAATTTCATACTGCTCAGGAATCTGACTACCTCACATTTACCATTAAGTATGAAATCCAAAATCCCCTTCCTAGAATTCAGGGTCCTCCTTTTATCCAGGCATTACTATTCCACACCCCATTAGGGAGAGTTTTCCTGACGGTTCACCAACCATTCAATCATAATTTATACCTTTTGCCTATACAATTCTAACCGTATCCCTCTCTTCAATAGGGAATGATCACCCTCTTCCTTTCTACCAGCTCTCTACCTATCTAGTAATGGCCAACTCATTATGCTCCTTCCGTAAATGTTATCCAGTCTGCAGAGGAAAATTAGAAACGTACTGATAATGAGCCTGCATTGTCCAATACAGTAAATACCAATTACATGTGGCTATAGAGCAATTGAAATATTTCTAGTCCAAATTGAGATATCAGTGTAAAATGCACACAAATTTCAAAGACTTAGAAATAAAAAAGAATGTAAAATATATCATTAGTATTTTTATATTGATTACATATTGAAATGGTAACATTTTGGAAATATTGGTTTAAATAACATTACACATTTCACTTGTTTCTTTTTACTTTTTTAATGTGGCTACTAAAAATTTTTAATTATACTTGTGATTTACATTATATTTCTTTTGAATATCACTGCTCTCTAGTGTAAATAAGTAATTCTAAATATTGTCAGGAGATAAGATGACTTAGTGATTAAGATCACAATATCTTAAGTCACATTGCCTGTTTTTAAATCTTTCCTAGATAAAAGACTGTGGACATTTGTATGCCTCAGTGTCCTCAGATTTAAAATAACAATGACATAGGATTTAATAAGCACTGAAAGAGAACAGCTAGGCTGGACTACGTGCCTGTAATCCCAGCACTTTGGGAGGCCAAGGTAGGAGGATCACTTGAGTTCAGGAGTTCAAGACCAGCCTGGACAATGAAGCAAAACCCTGTCTCTACAAAAAATAAAAAAATTAGCTCAGCATGGTAATGCGCACCTGTAGTCCCAGCTCTAAGAATAGGCGGGAGGATTGCCCAGGAGTTCCAGGCTTCAGTGAGCTGTGATTAGGACAATGCACTCCAATCTGGGCCACAGAGCAAGACCTTGTCTCCAAAAATAGATGAATGAAAGAATGCATGGTATGTAAAGCAGGTATTGGGTGTTAGCATTATTATTCTTTTGTGGGGGGCAGGGTCTTGCTCTGTTGCTCAGGGTGGAGTGCAGTGGCATCATCATGGCTCACTTGATTTAGTTTTTTGCTGGTAAATACATTTTGGGGTTCTTTACAGAGATAGCTTTTCTTCAGGCAGTGAGGCATGAGCATATTACTTCAGGCAATGTAATTTAAGAATATGATTAAAACAAACTAAAAAATTTCCTTAGAGGGAGAAAGGAATGTTAAAAAAATGACTGGACTCCATTTCTGGCCTGCGGGT